GACTGGCTGCTCAGGAATCTGCAGCAGCAGCTGCTGCTGGGCTGAGGTCCCGAGAGGTGAAATGGTCAAATCCACAGAAGCGGCGAGTAAATCCCCTCACTCTTTTGGGATTGGGACATTTGCTCTGACAGCACGAGCACTAATTTTCCGATATTCCGCTTGGCTGCGGTGCACGACCTGACCAACGCGCGCCTCCGAGAGAGAGCACAAAGACAAACCTGGTGGGCGCCCGCTGGCCGTCACCCATGGCCGTGACAAGCGCCACCACTGCGCTCGGCTGCGCCCCGGACTTTGCCCCACCTGGAACATGGGCAGAGCCCGGCTGGGCCGGAGCCGAGGTCCACCCCGTCCGGCGCGCCACACGCACGGCAGCAAAGCCGCTGCCCACAGCACGCCTCCAGCGGGACGGGCGCAGGGCGGCCCCCCACCCCTGGTGAAGGAAGTAGCCCAGGGCCCGCGAGGCGAGCGGCCAGGGGTGGCCTCCTCCCTCCTTGTTCAGAAGCCCGCGAGGCGATGCCGAGGCAAACCCGTCTGCCTCCAGACACAACCAAGCGCACCAGGCGGGACCCAAGGAACGGCTGCCGTAGGGTTCAGCGACGGTAGGAACATCACGCCGTTGAAGCGTGCAGGCACGAGGGGGGGGGGATGCTCGTAAGAGGAATCCCGCTCTGCACGGAGAAGGCTGCCGATGCCTCCTCGCCACGGTCTCTCCAGGAGCAGAATGCTGGGCTGGGTGGCCCTGGCTGGATCCGGCAGGACTCCTCCGATGTCTGCCCTTTTCTAACCCACAACCACTAGAAAACAGCAGCAAACCGCCCGTGGCCTTGGATGGGCACAGCGGCCTGACAGCCACAGGCTACAGCGAAGCCAGTGGACCAGCAAGGCCGGAGGGAGCCCCCCCAACTCCCAACACAGCAGCAGAGCCCCCCCCCCCCCCCCCGGTCAGGCTCTAGTTAGCAGGTTTTCACAGGCCACTAACTTTCCTGGGCTCACTAACAGGGCTGAAAGTTCAAGTACAGCAGCTACCCCGTTCCTTTCCGAGCCTCACGAAGGGAAGGAATGAAAAGCAGGAAATGCTGGTGGCCTGCCATACTGTAACTCCTAGAGGTGGGCCTGGGGGGGGGGGGGTCTTCTGCTCCAAAGCCGAGAGCTCCCTGCCGCATCAGGCCAAGAGTCTATCCAATCTTACCCGGGAGAGATGGGTTGAGGTCGACACCTGCCTGGAGGATCACTTGGGAAACAGACCGAGTCTCAGCCAAGCTCACAGACACACAGCATGCTCCGCTTTATGCTTTCCTCAAGGAAGAACATTTGGGCGCGGACTTGTAGGTAGTCATTTGCCCAACTGCCAAGAAGAAGAAGTGCTCCGGGTGCCCGGACTGGAGAGGTCATGTCGAGTGGAGCCGGGGCATTTCAGGCAAATGATGTGCCACCAGTGACTAACACTGGTGCATAGGAAGGAGGTGCCTAGCAAAGATTGGCATGGGCGAGCTACCTCCTTGAAGAACATGCTGATTAACTGGTTAGGCAGATATGAAGTACCAGAGGTGAGCTACTCCTCCCCGGATGGACGTGCAGCATCTCTCTGGCCCGGCCACTGTCGGCCTCGCTCAGAGCACACCCCGCAGCTCGCCTGCTCCCTGTTGAAAACACGCGTACTGACGCTCCTCCACGTGAAGAGCTGCTGCAGTCGCACCGGGTGTGGGGCTATAGGTGGCCGTGCGCTGCCACTGCTCAGAGCAGCTCCGACGTGTCTGAGGCAGCTCGGGGTCGGCGGGCACTTCTCAGCCGAGACCACTCACGGAGGCGACGTGGGCAGCTGCTCGGACTGGCCCACAGGCAGGCGGGGCTCTTGCGGGCCCGCTCAGCGCCGGGACCACCAGCACTCCGGAGCGGAAGGGTGGCGAGCCCAAGGGGATGCGCAAGGCGCGCGGTCTGCATGCTCTGCACGCTGTGCGGAAGCCTTCCAAGTGGCTCCCTATACGCACAAGGCCGGGTCGGGCCAGCCGCATCTCGCCTGAACCGGCACCGCGAAGCAGAGCACGTCAACTGGCAACCACCCACTGCCTGCTGCATCCTCCCCACACGCGACCGAGGGCTCTTTGGGGGCCTTCCGCAGCAGCTCAAGCTGGCCGGCTGCTTTCCAAGCATGAAGGACTGAACATCCTGACTGGAAAGCCGCTACCTGCAGGGCTGCCCGGAAATGCTCTTTGGGTACCCAAACGCTAAACTTTTAATAGTTAAGCAAAGCCAGCTGGCTTGAGCGGGACGCACGGCTGCCGTTCCTCGTAACAGCAGCCCTGCACAGTTGACCCTGTCGAAGGGGCAGTGGAACAGCACTCTTAAAAATGCGGCAGCAGCTTCTGTATGCTCAGAGACTCTCTGAGTACACAAATGTACACATTTTTAAATTTAAAGAGGAGGGAGTTTTCAAAATCCCAAATGGTCATGGACTACCAAGAGTTGTGGAACCCCAAGGGCAGGTATATTTGAGCGATTGCGAGCAGCTCTCACTTCTTCCCAGTGGAAGGAAAAAAAACACAGGCGTACGACCTACACCTGGAGCCCACAACCTACACCTGAAGCAAACATCCATCACTCTGCGGATGCTTGTGCTGCACCTGGGGACATCGGAGGGATGTCCGCGTGACGGGGAAGGCAGAAGCACTTGGTGCAGCCCTACTCCCAAGTTGTGGGTTTATTTAAACAGCAAGTTAAGCACCTTCCTTGGCCACTAGTAAAGCTATCGATTAAGTCTATGTTGGAAGTCAGTTGATGTGGCTATCAGGCTGCCCCTCAAAGGCAGAAAGAAACGGAAATGGAGGACGAGGAGAGAGAATTCGGCTGCCTACAGGAGCTTATAGCTACTATTAGTGGGGAATCATCGGGATGGCGGCCAGTGATGAGCAGGGTCCCCCAGGGCTCTGTCCTGAGGCCGATCCTGTTCCATCTTTTCATCAATGACATGGAAGAAGGGGTGAACAGTCTGCTGATCAGATTCGCAGATGACACTAAAATGGGGGGGGCGCAACTGAGGAGCAGGTACTCCAGATCAAGAAGGATCTGGACAGACTATGGAAGTGGATGGGGGGACAACAGGATGGCGTTCAGTGTGGATAAGTGCCAGGTCTTACAGGTATAGGATGGGGGACAAGTGGCTGGAGAGCAGCACTTGTGAAAGGGACCTCGGGGTGCTGGGTGACTGCAGGCTGAACATGAGCCAGCCGTGTGACGCGGTGGTCAAGAGGGCGAACGCCACCCTTGGTTGCATAGCCAGAAGTGTGGCTTCCAGATCGAGAGAGGTGTTACTGCCACTCTATATGACTCTGGTGCCCCCGCAACTGCAGTATTGTGCTCAGTTTTGGGCCCCTCATTACAGGAAGGATATAGCCAGGTTGGAGTCAGTGCAGCGCAGGGCCACACGGTTGGTGGCCGGTTTGCAGGGGATGCTGTATGAGGCGAGGCTGAGGGAACTGGGTCTTTTTAGCCTGGAGAAGAGGAGACTCAGAGGGGATCTGTTGGCAACATCCAGGTACGTGAGGGGTGCAATGCAGAGGTGTGTCCTGGCCTTTTTTTCCCCTGTAGTGGAAGGCAGGACATGTTCTGATGGAGAAATTTCAGGGAACCGAAATTTAGGGTGGAAGCCAGGAAGTATTTCCTGACAGTTAGGACCCCCAGAGCATGGAATGAGCTTCCACGGGAGGTAGTTGAAGACCCATCGGTGAGGGTGTTCAAGGGTAGGCTGGACGTGCACATGGTAGGCATGTCATGAGTGGAGCCAGCTGGAGCCAGGGGTCAGACTAGATGGCCCAAGAGACCCCTTCTGACTCCTGTTTTCTCTCCTTCTATGGTAAGTTTCTGGGAAAGGGGAAGTTGGGGCGTTCTTGAAGTCCCCCCAATCACCCTTCCTTCCCTGAACCAGCCATGCCAGTTTCAGGAGCAAAGAGAAAGCAAGCACCCCCAAAACACTGCACCCCAAAAATGCTTGGGTTGGTGCTGCCAGCCCTGTAGCACCATGGGGTACCGCAGGAGCAGGTGAGGGAGAGAAACGGCATGCCGCTCCGGCCCCTCCTCCCAAAACGGTCTCTGGCAGGCCTGACGAGGCCAGCAGGTCCCAGCTGCAGACCACCTTGGGCCTCGACCGCCAGCGCTGCCCCTCTGCGGGGGGCGCCCCACGTCTTCCTCGTGGGCTACTCTGGAAACCGACGTGCGCAGGCGCCCTGGGAGGCCCCGAAGCAGCACCCCCTGCTCCCCGCCTCGCGTTAGCCGGGCCAGGGGCCGCGACCCTGGGCAATGCCGCGCACCTTCCCACTCGCCTGCAGGGAACCGGGGGGGGGGGCGCTCCGCGTACTCACACCGGCTCCCCCGCGTGTTCTGGCGGCGGCGGGCCGGAAAGAACCCCTGACCCCGCGCCCCAGACGCGAGGAACGCGGCCCGGGCAGCGCCGCGCCGGGCGCACCAGCGGCCAGCCCAGCTTGCAAACGAGTGGCAACGGCCGCGCTTGCGGGCCGCCTCCGCCAGCGGCCCTCCAGAGGCGCCCTGCGAAGCCGCGCTCTTGCGCAACGGCCCCTGCGGCCGAGGAACAAAGGAGGCCCGGCCGCGGCTGCCCGGGCCTCGGGTCTGGCCAATGGCGCGGGCGCGCAGCGAGTGGCGCGGCGCTCCGGGCGGCGTTCATGGCGGCCGCGCGGCGCTCCGCCAAGCGGCTGCTCCGGCCGGGCGGGCG